GCACCGAGGACCTATCCACGTCATCATTTACCCAGAATGCTTTGTGTGTAAATAAAATGGCTCCGTCCCTGTTAAAAAATATATTTTTTAAATGTACAAAACTAAACAGCCTACAGTATTTTTACAATCTTTATTTTACAGTTAAAAAATATGTTTATCAGATAAAGTCTAATGTTATAACTAATCATGGATCCCTTTAAGAGTGCAACCATGTCATTTAAACTTTCAGTCTAAAAACAGGAAGGAAATCATCTTAGTCAGATGATGTCTTCTAATGAAATGAAGTGAAAATGGTTTCATCTTGTTTTGCTGTCCAGTGGCTGACCAGCTTGTTCACACACTGTTATATTTCACATATTATTAGCCAGAGGTACAATATGCCCTCTGTTATGTAAGCTATGGAGAGAGAAGAGGGGGTAGAGGAAGGAGAACACACACACACACACACACACACACACACACACACACACACACACACACACACACACACACACACACACACAAACACACAAACCAAACCTGACAGCAAAGTGACTCAGAGTCTGGAGGTTCTCAGAAAGAACACATGACAAGTACCATATTTGACAAGGCTACCCGGTCCTTGGGGACTATCAGAGTGATGTCAAAGGTGGCTTTGATGGCCGGCTCATCCCAACAGGGAAAAGCTCTGCGGGCATCTGTGGCCTGGAGGTAGAGGGACACACACACACAAACAAATCAAGAAATGTTTTGAATCAAGGATGGGTGTAGCTGTGAGTTCAGCAGCAAAATATAAGAGAACCTAAAAATTTAACATGTTAAAAAAGTAAGAAAATTTACTTCAGGGTGGAGATGACTGATGGTTCAACAAATTCAAAGAAAAATGATACTCAGGGTTGGTTTTGTTATTACACTTTCCTGGACATTAAAATATACTTAACACAAAAAGTATGGAAATGTGTGTTTGGTAGATTATTTCTATGTTGTAATAAAGTTTCTTGATAATAAATCTTGTATCAGCAACTGGAGGTACCAGAAACTCAAAACAGGAGTCAATAACAAAATCAGCTGTTTGGCAAAGATTTGGCTAATTTTTCATGTGTGCAACCCACACACTCGGCTCTCCCCCTCATCCCAAAAATGTCTGTTCCTTACAAATGTGGCACCATTTAAGAGAGAAATTAACAGGCTTTCCAACAGTATAAGGTTTATGGTGTGTTCCAGTAGCACTGGGAAGTGGAAATGTTCTTTATCCCGTTCGTAAATTTAAACTTCAGTGGTAGCGGCTGCAACTACTCCCAGTTTCAATTTCAAGATGGCAGCTACTCGCAGCTTTAGAAAGTTTATTCCATTACTTTTTCTGTTAATTATCCTTCTTAATGTTTTTGTGCATGTTTAATCACAGTGGTGCATTTTCTGTGCATACTGTTCATATTAAAAACTGTTTTTATTTGCATGACGTACGTAGGAGAGCTCTGTTTTTGTCATTGTTTGTATTGTAGCAGTTGTTGTAGCTAGGTTAGCAGCAGCAATACTATCGCCTGTCGGCTAACTGGAACGCAGTTTTACTGTATATGGTTTGTTGGGAAATTACGTCACTACCATTTACCAGTTCCAGAATACGATGTGAATGGAACGTAGCATTATTGTCAAGAAGCATTGTTAAAACACAGAAATAATCTACCAAACCCCAATTTCATTACTTTTTTTGCCAAGTTTATATTATGCATATACATAATTAATTATATATATATATATACAGTAGGCTGCATTTTTGAGCACAGATCCACT